ATGTACATTATTTTTGTACTGAATGTACATTATACAATATAATTTACACTCAATACAAAAATAATGTACAACCCTGAATATAATGTACATTATTTTTGTACGAAATGTACATTATTTTACAGTATACAAAATATGGTCCACACAACTGTGTGAACCATGGCCCACAAACGATGTTGTTTAGCTTAATTTTATTTTTTTATGCGTCCAGCTGCAACATACATGCATTTTTATAACTCATAATGTACATTATTCTAAAACATATGTACATTATTCTAAAGCATAAAGTACATTATTTTAAAATTAATGTACATTATGTTACCCCATATGTTTCATTATTCTAAGCACGTAGTGTACATTATTTTAACACATAATGCAATTATTCTAACACGTAATGTACATTATTCTAACACATAATGTACATTATTTTTACTCATATATTTACGACGATGTTTCGGATCGTTGTCCACGCAATAATTTGGCCCTCTAAAGTTAACATACCTTTTCATACTTAAAATATTAAAGAAACGGCGCCGTTTTGATCGCGATACACGTATACCGCGATCCACGATATAACGACTGACTGATTTTTTTAGGAGTTTGTTAGGCTCTTTCCTTTTATAAATTAGTATTGTATTAGCACTAGAGAATCATGGTCGATTATTACACAATACTATTTGTAATACTTTTGAGCATTAATCATCCCCGCGATATCAATTCATTTATTTTGTTTTTACTATTTTACCCATGTTATTTATGCAAACTTAGTTGATTCGTATATACCTTGGGTTAATTAATTTCATAAGTTGATTTCATTTTTAACGATGTGGTACGTTATAGTCTACCTAGTGTGTAATCCTTATACAATGATGTTGTACGAAATATTATATATATATATATATATATATATATATATATATAGGGTAGGTCCAGTTAAAAAAAAAAAAAAAATCTTTCTTTGAAAAGGTGAGTACTAAATCACCGCCACTCATCAATGTTGTCGAGGACTTTAATAAAATATATATATATATATATATATATATATATATATATATATATATATATATATAGTCAAATTTATAATTATTTTGAGCTTTGAAGTTTGTAATATTTATAAAATTAACTTGATTTTTAAAAAAAAAATTAGCAACCCTCAATCATTAATATATCTAAATAAATTAATCATATTGGTCATCACTTTTTACCTGGAAACATGTTTTCATTTTATAGGTAGTTTGGTTGCAAAGAAGGAATTATGAGGTAAAGAAATTATACTTTTTTGGAAAGGAATAAAGTAAAAATAAAGTATGAATTCAAATTATACTGTTTGGTACGCAAGAAGATAATTATTAGAAATTTCAATTATAATGTTTAGTGTATATGTAAATTGAAAGGAAATAAGTGATATAAAAATTAAAATACTCTTATTGTAATTCTCTCGAAACAAACAAACAAGAAAATTTTGGAAACTGAATTAGGTAGGAAAAAGAAAAAATATCTTACGGGTCAAATAGCATGTTAACGTATATATATTCTAAAAAAAAAAAAAAAAAAAATCTTTGAAAATAGGCGGAATATGTTGGATGTGAATATGAGTTATGCAGCGTTGCAGCCGCCGGTTGCCGGTGGGGACGCTTCGAAAGTGAAGCTATAAAGTTCCCGGCGGCACGGACTTATTTTCCAGTCTGGCCCATGTTACCCAAACTGGAATTTGATTGGGTTGACCACTGCACTCATGAAGCTACAGTCTACGGACCTCAATGTCCATTTCAAGTCGCACTTCCTTGTATGTACCAACAAAAACACAAAACTTGACCAGATTATTATTATTATTATTATTATTATTATTATTATTATTATTATTATTATTATTATTATTATTATTATTATTATTATTATTGATAGATAACCGCAAATAGGATACCCAGTCAGGTTTACACTTTGGCAGGGTTCACAGTTTGACAATGATCTCGGAGGATGGGCAGACTTATGTAGCCTGGCCCCAGGTGCAAGATCTATTCATCCGACCCGGCTGCAACCAGCGTAGGCGGCCAGTTTGGGTTCTCGAATGGGTGCGGCACTCAAAGGTTGTTAAAGGAGATTTTGTGGAGATCTTCTCTAGATTTCGGACAGGATTTTCTTTTTCAACAACCGGAAAGAAATATGGCGATTTAAGCAGCTCTCCTGAGTTCAAATTTGTTAACTTCTTCCTCCTCTTTCTAATACCCATAAATATCTTTCGGGTTACATTGTAAAGGGTTTTGAATTCAATTATAATGCAATCATTTTGTTAATTTTCTCTCTTAATTTTTCCTTATTATTTTACAGTTGTGTTCGGCAAGCCCGTGGCCGTAAAACCAACCATTATTTGGTATATGATGGGAAATAGGAAGAAGATTAAGCAGTTTTAGGCAGAGAAGGATCAAAATTTTAATTTCAAGAAGGGAGGGATCATAATGATTTGTCCTCGAATCTACATATAATTATTAAACAAGACTAGTTTGTCACTGCACAAGTCATCTAATTGTTTTCGAGAGGTGAAAGTCCAGGCCGGTCAATTGGATCAACTGCATTCTTAAGCAACTGAAAATTCATGTTCATTGGATCAGCCGCATCCTGGGTTTTCAGTGTTGTAGAATCATCGGCTCAACCAAGGACTTATATAGACGAAGTGAGGATAAATAGTATTTATCATGGCATTTAAATTGATAATAAAATTAGCCTATGTAACCTTCATAACAAACAACCATTAATCTGGAAATAAATTCTAAAGTTTAAAATTGAAATTAATATGTAATTAATTCCGTTGAATCAGAATTAATACTCCAGAACGGTATTCGAACAGTACAAATGAAGAATACTTCAAGTTGTACGAACGGTACCCAAAAGGTTACATCGAGGGGTCAATTATTTGGTCAAAGCCGACAAAAAATTGTAAAATATTTTCAAAAAATTAGCATAATTACAACATTCATGCCCGATGCTGACATACACGAGTCAAGTCTTTTTCAGACTCATTTTGAGATTTGATTTGCACTCCCTACGCGCGCGAGAGCCTCTATGTTATACAATTCAACCTCCCTCTTAAAGGGTATTGTATATATAGAGGTGCAAATCTCATTCTTTTTGCATTGTGGGACAAGTGCTTGTTTCATGCCTTTCCACCTCCATTTTTCAACTCAAATGAATCTATTTTGAGAATCTCATTCACTCATTATCTGTTTCGAGTTTACAATATATCAATCTCTTATCTCACAACGAAGAACCCGAAAATAGACCCCACATATATTTGTAGAGAAAATTTCAATTTTAGTCACACGACTATAGGGGCTTTGTTAATTTCAGCACCTAATTTTCAAAATTGTCAATTTAGTACCTTGAGTATGTAATTTTTGTCAATTTTAGTCACTCCGGCCAAATTTCCGGCCAAATTTGACCGGAAAAATTTAATCCAACATTAAATCTAAAATTTTAGGGGCAAAATGGTCTTTTCAGTTGAAATTTTCTCCCTAATTAAGTTATGTGCAAGGATGTGTTGGAAAGATACCCAGAACTAGCCACGGAAGCCTCTCCAACCATCACGCAGCGCCTAGAGGTGGCAAACCCAACCCTGATTGTGATGGCGAAAGAAGCAAGCCTGGCTTGCATAAACGACTGGGGGCGGCCGGTTGAGGAAATCACCCACGTCGTCTACGTTTCCACGAACGAAATCTGGTTGTCCGGCGGCGATCTCTACTTGGCCGCGCGAACTCGGCCTGAAAAGTGACGTCAATCGCATAGTGCTCTACTTTCTCGGCTGCTACGGCGGCGTCACCGGCCTCCCGATCGCCAAAGACATAGCGGAGAACAACCCAGGGAGTCGCGTCCTGTTAACCACGTCGGAAACCACCATCCTCGGCTTCCGCTAGCACGACTCGTCGGCGCGGCGCTCTTCGGCGACGGCGGTGATCGTCGGCGCCGACTCCAGGGAAAACGTGGAAAACCCATTCATGGAACTCAGTTTTGCCGCCCAGCAGTTCCTCCCGGGGACCCAAAGCATGATCGACGGCCAGATCTCCGAGGAAGGGATAAACTTCAAGCTGGGCAGGGATTTGCCGGAGAAGATTGAACACAACATCGAGGACTTTTGCAAGAAACTGATGGGCAAAGCCAATAATAATAATAATTTGAGTTATAATGAGTTGTTTTGGGCGGTCCATCCCAGAGGGCTGGCGATTCTGAAAAGGCTGGAGGGGACTCTGGGCTGAGGATCGAGAAGCTGGATTGCAGCAGGAGGGAATTAGGAGAAAGGAGATAAAAGACTATTTTGTCCCTAAAATTTTAGATAAATGTTGAATTAAATTTTTCCGGCCAAATTTGGTAGGCAATTTGGCCGGAGTGACCAAAATTGACAAAAATTACATACTCAAGGTACTAAATTGATAATTTTAAAAGTTAGGTGCTGAAATTAACAATGCCCCTATAGTCGTGTGACCAAAATTGAAATTTCTCTATATTTGTATCACAACAACATAGCTACTTATAATGTCATTTTATGTTATTTTTTTCAACAATTTGTTCAAATATTGATAAAAAATTAAAAATATTAACAAAAATTAAACTTTTAACATTTTAATGCCAAGAATTATGCTATACTCACTCATTTCTCTCATACAATTCGGAGTTGAATAGTGTGTCGGGGAGCATTAATAAAGGTGCAGTCAAATTTGTATTACGGGTGTGGGGCTAACCTTTACTCGTTTATGATAGGTTTTGCTCCTTAAATTCAAACACTCACATTGTTGATATGGACAGGCTGACAAGGTTCACCCCCGAATCGAAGTATACGCTACTTTCAATAAGATATAATTTATTTGTTTTCACATATAACGCACAGCCAAAACATCCCTCCAACCAAACATATTACAAACAATTAGTACAATCATTAAATCATATAGAATCAACCGGGCACAGTTCAACTAGTCAATTAATCCAAAATAAATTTCCATTTTACCTCTTCCACCTGTCTTCATGACACGAGCGAATCATACATGCACACGCAGAACAATCAAGAAGATAAAATTACTATTTTGCCAGAACTTAGAAACTAAAAATGCAATTTTTTCTAAAATAAATGGTGATTTTATGGTGGGGGTGGGGGGTGCATGCATTTCAGAATTCTTTCTATCACCAACACATCTAATATGAAAAACTATTCTACAAGACAATCTACATCACACAAATTTCATGAACAAAGAGCGTTATTTCGCCTGTCAGATCCTAGTCTTTTGTCAAAGAACTTCAGTGTTCATCACCAGAGAGCCACAGATGCATTTCCAATGCCAGAACAATATGCAGAGGATGGGAAGGTGGTGAGATTGGGACAAGCAAAAGCATTGCATTGACAGGTTTCTGTTGACTGCAGAGAATAAGAAAAGTGGCATGTTAGAGCACAGCAAGACTAAAGATTGTATTTTTTTTTGGATGACGAGGGAAACCAGTCTAGATTGTCCATAGCTTTGAGCCTCTGACCGACTCAAACTAAGAAGGCCAGTAAGCCGCTCCAGCTGGGAGTCGAACTTGTAAGTTTGTGGTTACTAAATCAACAGTCTGACCAACTTGGCTGGGGTTGCCCCTTTTGCCTAATCATACGACTAGCAGCTATTTTTGAAGAGTAAGGTTGAAGCTAGACGAGTACCTTGATTGATGTTATTGAATATATCTTCTCGAGGAAAAGCATAGGGCTCTAAATACCAGAAAACCGCTTGTGAGTTTGTTATGCAGGTACCCAGCAAGAGCTGCCACAAATAATCCGACCTTTCCATCCCTGCAGTATCCAATGACCGTCTTCATCGAACACAAAATCTTTGTGATATCCCGCCATCACCTTACCTCTTAGCTTCTTAACAAGTTCCGGTTTTACAGGCAGAGGCTTGAACCCAGCCCTCATATTGCGTACCTGCCACTGCTTGTATGTTTCAGGCCTCTCGAATCTTTCCATGCCCTCACATGCAATGACATTCATAATTTCACGCCCAACGAATTCTTTCTCAAAATCCAACCGCTGATGATCATCACGGGATAAAGTAGCATCAAACATATCGAAGACAGCAGAGTAGAAGAAGAGAGCCTCTCGGAACCGAGTGACAAAGAAAGGAGAGCTGTAAGATCCGCTAATTACAGCTTGCACATAAATATCTGGATTTATTTTCCGGATTAAGCTTAGAACTGCATCCCTAGGGCTGTGAGCAACCGCGGTCTCATCTAGTAGGTTTTTGAATCGAAACAAACAGTTAACGGCAACCACATCGCCACTTGCAAGCTTCAAATCGTCAATTTTAATTGTTTCCCAATTCTGACTTGTTATGGCATTGTACTCAAATGGTACGCCAAAACGCTCACAATAATTTGCCAAGCGACGGCCAGTCTGTTCTACCTTTTCTGCTGGCCGAAAACCAGGATGAGGAAGCTCGATTCCAGTTACTCGAAGTTTAGGAGGCCCACCAGGCCTTTGAGAAAGATGCTGGATAAGGATGGGCCACTGGAAACCATAAAGTATACCAAAATCTATGACATGCAGAGTGTGACCCTTTGATGCCACTTCATAAATCATTTTATTTGCAAAGAAAATTGCTATTCTCTTGAACGGGCAAAATGACAGGTAGGTGTGGTAGGCTTTCAACTTCTCAGAAGCTGTGATCGGCTTTGGAGCTAAGGCTGCATATAGTTGTGTCCCAGTTCCAGCCAACCGTGCCTCGAGACCATTTGCAAATACACTGGCCAGCCTTTGATTTGCATCGCCAGTAGGCGAAGAGTGTTTCCTGATCTTCTTTAATTGGTCATTTGCGGTCCTATAATCAGCAGCAGCAATAGATTGTGCACAGCTCGTTAATAGAGACCTCAGATCCACGGTTTCACTATTACCCCCTTGTTTCTTTGCACGCCCCTTCCCACCGCTTGGCCCTTTCTGCTCCATTCCCTCAACATTTATGTTACAACCGTTATTATCAGTAGACAGCAAAACCTTATCAAAGACCTCGGATAACTCAACCTCCTCCTCGTAAACTGCAGAGTGCTTGCTGCTTCTTTCTTCTTCTTCTAACCCACTGTCATCTGGATGGTGGTGTTTCTTTCCTCTAGAGAAATTAGCGGACCGGTCCTTCTCGTCCTTCTCTATCTTGACAACAGCATCCCCAGACAACTGATCTGTCTTTGGAGGCAACGAGTATTTATCCAAATCAATAACCAACTGATTACCCGTAGGAAGGAATCTACTCGCTTCCTCCATTCCTCTCTTGAACTGCAAGATGGACTCGGTATCACTAAATATATTCGGAACCAAGTTAGCATTCACAAAAGAGTCCATTTGGGCATTCATAACACTACTAAAGCTATTTAAAGAACCGTTTAACCTATATGAGTTAGTCTGACTTGATGTCTGGAAGGAGAACTCAGGAGAATAACTAGTGACAGAGGATTTAGATTCTCCAGGATCAACAATCCACTGAGGGTCGGCATTACAGCTACCGATGCTACTGCTGCTTGTACTATAACCACCGGAACTTGGCAATATGCTGTCTGGGCTTCCAGCATAACCGTTAACAAAAACCGGGGCTTGATGAGGTGAGGGAGGCTTGTCTTTCAGGGCTTCATAAAAGGAATTCTCAGCAGCTTTAAGAGCAATTGGATCATAAAACATGCTGGGATTCTCATCAATGTTCTCCTCCAGCAGTATCTGATTAAGGTACTTGAGCACAGTATCAGAGTCATGATCATCTGGGGAGTCCAAAGTAGGAGCATAACTACCAAGGTTGGGATCATGTATAACTAAAGGGGCATCCACGATATCGAGAGGTAAAGAGTCAACATTATAACTGCCTGGAATATCCGGTGATCGTTTTAAGCTCGAAAATATGTTCTCATCCTCCAACAAGAATCTGTTTACAGAGTCAGTCAACCTGCTGAACTGATGATCCATAACCATCTAAGTGAAGAAACCTATATCCACATGTGGAAGAAGGGTTATAAAACAAAACAAAAGAAACAAAAACAATCTGCAAAACGAAAAAGGATCCTTAACTATACCCATAGTTTATCACTGAAAAATGCAACAACAAATATATACATTTAATTAAGAAAACAGACACAGACCTCAGGCATCAGAAACTCAGAAAGTATACATTTAATTACACGGAAATAGCTATTTACACTTTAAAGATTCAATCACATTTGAATGCCTTAGATCCTCACAATCAATAACTAAATTTAACCCAAGAAAGCAAATACATCAAGTATATCATGCAGAAAACGGGATTAAGTTCGAATTTCCGATAAACAAAAGCAAATCTTTGAGCAAACCAAATGAAAAATCAGTAAAACGCAGCATTAAATAGAGAAAGAGAAAAAAAAAATACCCGAATGCAAAATAAATTCTAAATCACAAGAAAGACAGGAACTTGAGAGCCGTCTTCCATTTCTGTTTGATTTTTCAGAAAATTGAGCGCGTACCTTAGAGCGAGCAGAGAGCAGAAGAGGGATATGATTGAAATAAGTCAAATAACCGCAGAAGAAGGGGGAAAAGGATGAGAGAGAAGAAGATAAACGAAGCTTCTGAGAAACGGTTCAAGAAGAATGAGAGACTTTGAAGAATCAAATATTGAAACAATGGTGACCGGGGAGTGCCAGTCCGTCTAAGCTTCAGTAACATTCTGGTATGAATTTTTTTTTTTTTAAATTATTAAAAATATTCATTTAAATTTTATCAGACCACGATGTGTCCTAACGGTAAGAGACACTTTAGTGCGTATCATATTCAAATTAATCTCTATTTATATTTAGATCGACTCAATTAAATATCAAAGTGCGGGCCAAATTTATTTAAGAATGTACTTTAAATTTTTAAATACAATTAAATTATTGTACTTATAAATGGTAGGATTTGACTTTTGGACTTCAACATTTATGTTTTGAAGTTAATTATCATTATCAATTGAATCAATAGTTTTTTATTGATCATTTTAATCAAAATATTAATGACTAATTATTTTTAAAAGAGTTAATTCCAGCAATAGTCCTCCGACTATGTTGATTTTTTAAAATTAGTCCTCGACTTTTAATTTGGACACTTTACGTCCCTTGACTTTAAATTTCTTTCCAATTGAGGTCCTTTCGTCAGATTACGGTAACTTGGACTTTAAATGAGAGGGTAAAGTAGTCATTTCATCTGCTTAATATATAATTCTTCGTATTTCTCCCTTGTATGCGCGACTTCGAACATTAGATTCACTTAATTGCTTAATCTCTAAATCCACTTGAAGAATAAAATTCCATTAGGGATTAAGCAATTAAGTGAATCTGATGTCCGAAGTCGCGTATATAAGGAAGAAATACGAAGAATTACACATTAGGCAAATGAAATGACTAATTTACCCTTTCATTTAAAGTCCACTTTATCGTAATCTGACGAAAGGACCTCAATTGGAAAGAAATTGAAAATCAAGGGATGTAAAGTGTCCAAATTAAAAGTCGGGGACTAATTTTGAAAAATCAATATAGTCGGAGGACCATTGCTGGAATTAACTCTTTTTAAAATTTTCTGTTATTAGTTAATCCGATTTGAAACTATCGATTAACTGTATGGTTAGTATATACTCCGTATATGTTTTAATTTTCTTTTTGTAATTTATAAATTATTCTATTAAACTAGTTTTATAATTTTCTTTTTAAATATTTTATATATCGATGTAATGACTATCTTGTAGTGTGAAAATATGGATTTAGCCAAGACCTTGTGGTCTAATAGCATCCGGGTTGGACTCTCATATGGGAGGTTGTGAGTTTGAGCTTCAATAGAGGTGTTATTGACTCTTTGTGCTTCAGTAGGTTGAGAAATTAGTTATGAACAGATACTACATTGTAATAGAACCAGTAGCTTCATTATTTTAACCGTTAAAGTAGTTTCATTTGGAAGATTATGAGTTCGAGCCTCAGTGGAGGCGTTATTGGTTCATTGTGTTTCAGTATGTTGAGAAAGTATATGAACAGATACTACAATATAATAAAACCAGTATCTTTCAAAAAAAAAAAAAAACTCATCTCAATTGATTAATCCCTCAATGTAAACACGTACGTCAATGTAAAAATTTATTATTTGTCAACTTAGTATTTAATAAATTTCTTTCATTTTCATTAGTGACAATTCAAACCTTTACATCATCTAATTAAAGGAAATTATATGGCATCAATCGATATTACTGCCACTTGCATATGATATAATCCAATTTTTTTTTTTTTTTTTTTTTTACAATGTAGTAACTGTGAAATGACTAAAATACCCTCATTATTTTAACTGTTAAAATTTTTCAACGAAATTTGGCCGGCAATTTGACCGGAGTGACCAAAATTGATAAAAATTGCATAGACAATGTACTAAATTAACACTTTTAAAAGTCAAGTGCTGAAATTAACAAAACCTATAATCATATGATCAAAATTGAAATTTTCTGCTTTATTCACTTTTCAAAGCTAAACTAACTCATAATGCTTGGAGAGGAAGCCATGGATAGTCAAAAAAGAATACGAATTTGAATAAAATAACCATACAATAAATAAATAAATAAGTATTCCTTATTAATTAATTTCCTCGAATTGTGACTATGTCAAAGGTTACAGGTCGTCCCTACTATGTGTCTTCCTTGTAAGCGACATATGTATAACATAAAAACTAGTCCCTCAATATTAGTTGAATAAGTATTTTTTCTTTTATATTATATGATAATTATTCTATTATTCTTACTACATTATATATACGGTACCATGTTATAATTCAAAAAGAGAAACTTTTTATTTAAGATCTCTACATTTTAAAAACAAAATGAATAGTAAAATTATGCGTGAATATAAAATTTCGATTTACGAAAAAACTAATTAACTGCCACTACTTGAATGTGTATTATAGTGAAATTCATATTGTGATCCTTGTCGGCACAAAACTATAATGAGGTAAATCCAACATAAGTTATATATAGTTGATTAACTCAAACCAAGAAAATTAATAGGTAATTTCAACCGAGAATCAAATTTAAAATTTTGTGATTACTAAATCAACTGTCCGACCAGACCAACTCAGATGTGAAAATATAAAATTGATGTTTAATTGGGTCATGCATGACATAACAATGGCCATAACATGCTTGAACATGTATTAATTTTAAATATATTTGGTAGTGCAGATTCTCCATGCAGATCTCATATTAATTGCTTGAGGCCTAAACATGACCAGACTAAAGTCTGTTACGTGGTTGACGCTTCCTTGTTTTTTTTTGAACTAATTTCACTTTTGGTCCCATGACTTTAGAGTTTCTATCATTTTTGGTGCACAACTTTAAATTTTTTCAATTTTGGTGTCTAACTTTGTTATTTTTATCAATTTTGGTCATTTCGACCAAATTGACTGTGAAATATTGCTGGATTTTACATTTTAGGGGCAAAATCGTCATCCCAAGAAAAGATATTCAATATCTAAACAAAAGAAAAATCATGTTAAGAGAAATATAAGAGTTTGGCAATCGTCGATGCTATAAATCTCATAGATCTGTGTCTAGTTTTTGTCCGTCTTCCCAATTATTCTCATCGATCAAACACTTATAGATATGATTTTAGAGTGATTTTGTTTAGATATTGAAGATGTTTCATTGGGATGACGATTTTACCCCTAAAAATATAAAATCCGGCAATATTTCGTCGTCAATTTGGTTGAAAGGACCAAAATTGATAAAAACAACAAAGTTAGGCACCAAAATTAAAAATTTTTAAAGTTGTGCACCAAAAGTGATAGATCCTCTAAAGTCGTGGGACCAAAAGTGAAATTAATTCTTTTTTTTTTCTTTTTTTTTTCTTCAAGTTTTTCAATTTTCAAAATTTAATTTGTAAGATGGTAGTGTTATAAATTATAAACACAACATACAAAATAGATAACGCTTGAGAGGGAGGCGGCCACTCTGAAAATAGTGCGTAAATTATTTTGTGAATTCAGGTCCAAATGTAGCGAAATTGGTCAAACAAATAGTTCGGTAACTATATGATTTCAGATTTAACTTCTTACTGAAACAATTTATTAACTTTTTTAGTTTAAACTGATTAGCTAGTAACGATTACGGACTTTTTCATAAATCACACGGTTTTAATAACAAAGATAAGTACAAATAGGCACTTACCTTCTAGAAGGGCATCTAAAAAACATATAGGATCAGATGAGTATCGGTGAATTGGAATCGGGGGGTTGATTATTGTAATTAAGGCGATGATTGGATCATATGCATGTGTAGTTTAATTATGGAGTCGCTAACCTTCTATTATTATAACACCTGAAATATGATTAAATATAATATAATTTTTGTGCTTGTTAATTAGTCGAGATAGATTCGTTGAGGATTTCCCTGTCGGAATCCGGACAATATCATTAATGTTGTATAAGTTTCAACCTTAAATTTTGAGATCCGTGAAAAAGATAAATCACAAGATATGTCTCTTGATGAATTTAATTCATCCGGGATAGCCCGAATTATTAAACCCGGATAAGAATGTGTACGAAATAAATGATATAACGCAGAGATGTCGTAAGGTCGCAGGGACCGTATATTGTATTAATTATCACCAATAAGCTATTACAAGACTTGATTAGGACAATAATGCTAGAAGATAGTAGTTCAAGAATATGTTGTGTTCCTGTTTAGGACAAGATGTAGGCTTTTTATATCAGCTCAAACCCCCAACCGCACCCCTAAAACCGGGGGTGGTTAGATCGGCCGCTTTGACCGCGTCCCCTTCGGGACCGGGTCCAAAGCGGGTCGACTCGGCATGGCCGAGCTCGGCTTAGCCGAGTCCACCATGGACCGGCTCGACAGTGGCCGAGTCCATGGTGACGAGCTCGGGTGTACCGAGCTCGTCCGTGGCCGGGCTCGGCCCACGGTCGAGATGCTTTGGGTCAACTCGGCCACGGCCCAAGGGACTGGGCCGAGACGTCTCGGGTCCGTTTCTCCGGGTCGGTTCGTTCTGGGTCTAATATATCCATCACGAGTCCCCCACTCTCTTCGTTGTGATAAGTCGACAACGATAGAGAGTAGACACATTGCGAGCCGACTCCCACGCGATTGCCCCGAGTTGATAATTAGCCGACCTCCTGTGACCGAGCTCACCATGACCGAGGCACCTTGGGCCGAGCACGGGGCCCAACCACTATGCCTCGGGTCTATTCCATACTTCCTTGTTCCGCTTTCCCGGGTCGGTTTGCTCCAATCATAATATATCCATCATGAGCGAGACTTCTTCTCTTCCGCAAGAACACTAACAAGTCTTGGACTCCCTGGCATCGTGTATGAGACTTTGATTTCTGAGTTCACTTTTGGGCGAGCTCATGAGGTAGTCGTCCTCCTCTTGGGTGAGCTCATGTGGTAGCCCCTCTTGGGCCAAGGTGCCTTGTGTCGAGGCGACTTGGGCCGAGGTTCGTTAATGAAGGAGAGTAAACACGAGTCGCACTCCATGGGTCCGAGCCCCATACGGCCGACCCCAACGTGGCCGACCCCAACGTGACCGAACCCAACGTGGCCGACCCCAACGTGACCGACCCCAACGTGGCCGACCCCA